ATCTATTAGTTTATTTATTCTATACTCACACACTTATTTGGCAACGGCGACGTGATATTTTTTAAAGGACAAAGAAGAATGGCGTTATATCATTCTCCAACCAGGATTCAAACGAAAGAAAATGAAGATTCAGTTATTAATATTGATAAAACTACTTCAAGTAAGGAATGTTCTTCATCAATTACACCGGTGATACAAAGTAAGTTAATGCTGCATCAATACTACAACTTCCACCATTTTGGAAAGAATGGTGTCCCGGTATACAATTATAAACTTTGATCATTTAGTACTATCTTTTATTTCGGATATTTTAAATACTTCTCTTTCGGAAAATAGATATGAAAATTTGAAAAGTCGGATTATTCCTTCATTTGATGAATCAGGTGAATCAAAATTAAGATGGGAAAATGAAATATGCGATGAAAAACAATTTGCAGACATTGTAGGAGGCCTTTTGGCTATTACTGACATGCAGGATCTTTCGAAGCTATTGTACCAGGCTGATAAGATTGTTGAAGTAATTGAGCCAAGAAATATTTGTAATATTAAATGTTAAATCAGAGGAAAATTTAAATTTCAGTACAGAAAAAGAAGAAAAAATAGATATCATAAATTCGCAAATTCAAGAATTACGAAGACAAATTGAAATTGGAGCTATTAATATGAAAAGAAATAATTTTAGAAGCAGATCAAGATCAATTACATCTAGAAGATGTAGGAACACATCAAGGACGAGGTTTCATAATGAAAAATCCTTATGTTATTATCATAAAAAGTTTAGAGATATTTCTTTCATATGTAAGGAATCCTGCTTATGGACTGGAAACGATAGAAGGGAAAGGCAAAATGAAGAATTGTTACCGAAAAATTAGAAATGCTGTCTGGAGTATAGGGGATCCATGATAGCTTAAATGCTAATTATTGTCTGACTATTAATGACAAAAGTTCAGATATGAAATATTTAATTGATATTGGTTCAGATATTTCATTATTGTCAAGAAAAGTATTTGAAAAGAATACAATATCAACAAATTTAATATGGTATGATCAAAAGTTAGTTACTGTAAATTTAGGATTACGTAGAAATTTTGCGTGCGAATTCATTATAGCGGATATACAAAATTCGATTATAGGAGCCGATTTCATAGGTTATTATAATCTGTTAATGGATATAAATAAAAAAATGATTTTAGACAAAAAAAAACAAAACTACAATCATTTGGTTTCAACGATAAATAATTCTTTTATATATGAAGAATTATTACAAAAATATATTGATATTACAAAACCAATTCGAAAAGATGTTGTAAAAAGAGAAAGAGATATTTGTGATTATATATTAACTAAGGGTCAATGTATTGCAGAAAAAAAACAGGTGATTAATATCAAAAAAATTAAAAATTGCGAAAGCAGAATTTGAAGAGATAATGCGGCAACGAGTGTGTAGGCCATCGTCCAGTCAATAGGCAAGTCTTTTACAAATGGAGAATGGCGTCCATGTAGAGATTGTGGAAGATTAAATTCGATAACAATTTCTGATCGCTATCCTGTTCCTTATATCTTTTTCTATATATTTTTCCTGTTCCCAACATTTTTCTTTTAAATTAGCAAATTCAACCATTTGTTCGACGATAGTCCTTATTAAAGCTTATAATCAGACACCAATGGCTTCTGATGATATACCAAACCACGTTTGGTTTATTTGATTTCTTAGTTATACGATTTGGATTGAGGAATGCTGCACAAACATTTCGAAGGTATCTGGATAATGTGTTAAGAGGTTTAAATTTTTGTCATGGTTATATAGATGATATAATTATCGTATTGAAAAATGAAAAAGAACATAAGGAACATTTAAAAATAATTTTTGTACGATTACGAAAATATGGATTGTCTATTAATGTAAATAAATCTATTTTTGGAGTTAAAGAAGTTAAATATTTAGGATATTTAGTCAATGGTGAAGATATAAGACCTATTGAAGATGAAGTACAAGCTTGAAAAGATTTTCCTCTTCCGACTGATAGGACAGAACTTAGAAGATTTTCCCCCCGGAATAAGACATTTTTATCTCCTCTACATTCTTTACTTATACGTGCTAATAAGAAGGATAAAACAATAATTCAACGGACAGAGGAACAAAAAACTTCTTTCCATCATTTTAAAGAACAATTGATTAATACAACGTTATTAGTACATCATGCAATAAATGCATGTTTAGCGTTGACTATAGATGCGTCAGATACACCAATGGGAGCTGTATTGAAACAATATGTTAATGAAGAGTGGCAACTAATAGCATTTTATTCAAAAAATTTTTCGAAATTTTTTAGGTTTATGATAGAAGGAGGGGACATAATTATTAAAACTGATCAAAAACCGTTGCATTTAACTGTTGCATTTAAACAGAAATCCTCGGAAGTTTTACTCCGACAACTTCGACATTTGGACTTCATAGGACAATTCGATACGCAATTAAATTATATTAAAGGAGACGAGAATGTAGTTGCAGATGCTGTTTCCAGAACTAAAGCAATTGAAGTGCCTGTTGTAGTAACAACGGAAGAATTAGCGGAAGTACATCAATATCGTCGAAGGAAATTCGGCAATACTGCGATTACAAAAATTAATATAATAGCTAATTCAAATTCAATCTTATATTGCAATATTATACAAGATAATATGTATTCGACCGTATGTTCCTATTCCGTCCCTCAACGGAATTTTCATACTGCGTCCGCCCAACTTTTTCCGGGGCGAATTACATTTTCTTCTACACCTAGAAAACAATTTTATTTACGGGGAATCATTGGCTCGGCGAGTCAAATTACAGTTCTGCAACGAACGACGTGCAATCGACAAAAGGTCACGTTCGTTAGGCTTCCATTTCGTAGAGTCATAGCCTTCTTCATTGCATTTTTTAAGTTTATGCTTTTTCGAATCATCTTTCCGGCAAAAAAGACATTTCTGCATTTTCCAGTAATGCACGCCTTTTCCATACCAGCATCTTTAATCGGCACCTTTTTTTATAACAGGGTCGCCACACCCACCGCTTCGGCCGCCCATCCGGGGTTTCTTGCTACCTGCGGCATTGCGTGCTCCGCCACTTTTACAGCCCCCGCCCACCCGCCGCGTTACTGGCCAATCAGTTTCTAGTCTTCTGACCACGAAACGGTATAAAAACTCGAAACTGATTCTTCTCTTGTCTCATTATGTCATTCTCTTGTCATTCATACGTAGTTATTCCACCAGTGGTCTTCTCTCCGTCAGTCAATGTCAGTTAAACTCAGTCATTCTCGCTCGGTCACTAGTCTGCGACTTTGTTTCAACAGGCATGCACTGTCCGTTTCAACCAAGTTCTGAATCGCAGTCATTCTGCTTCATTTAACTTCAGTAGACTCCAGCTCACTCTAGTCTTCCACTCGGATAGTCTTTCAACCTTCGTTCATTTGTAATCAGACGAATAGCGATATTAATCAATTCCGTTGCTTAGCGTAATCGGCCTTACAATTCGAGAGATTTTGTAATCGCGGAATTTTAGTATCGGTTGTACTCGCTGTGCACCCTACAATCCCAAACATTTTGAGACAATTTTAAGTATTGTACATGGTTTATAACATCCTGGAAGTAGGTCTATGAAAAAGACGTCGCAAAGATTTGTTTAGCCAAATATGACAAAAGATGTTGCAGATTGAGTGAGGATATCGTTATTGTTTAACGATGATCGATCATTTCTCTCGATGGCCTGAAGCAATACTAATTAAAGATATTACTGCAGATACAATAGCAATGACATTTTTTAATACATGGATTTCAAGGTATTGTACACCATTATCTGTAACTACAAATAGGGAAAGTCAATTCGAATCACAAATTCTTCATGCATTTTCGGAAATGGTTGGACTTAAAAGAATCCGAACAACTTAGTATCATCCTGTGTCAAACGGAATAATAGAAAGATTGCATCGAAGATTAAAAACAGCGATTTATTGTCATAAAAAAAGAAGATTGGATACAAATTTTACCAATAGATTTGTTAGGATTAGGGACTGTTTAAAAAGAAAGTCAGTAGCAGAAATGTTTATTACAAACTTTTTAGAAGAGAAAGCTTCGGTTAATCGGAGAATATTTCTGCAAAAATTAAGGGAATACATGAAAATGTTGAAACCACGTCAAACGACGCATTATATTAAAAACAAGGTATTTAAATCTTAATAAAGATTTAAATTCATGTTCGCATGTATTTTTAAGAGTAGGTGCAGTAAAACTACCTCTAACACCACAGTACGAAGATCCATATAAAGTTATTGCCAGACAGTCCATTAAATCGAATTTTCACCATCAAAATTATTGGCAGATACGAACATATCCTGGGTCCAAAGAAGAGAGGAAAATAAGATTCAATATTTAAATGATTTTAAATACTCGGATGGGAGTAATGTGGCAAATGTAGATAATTAATTTATTTCTATTTTATCGACGATTTTCAAAAATTGATTAAGTTTACGAATTATGTTAACGAAGTTCTCGTTACCATTAATTCATTTATTATTGTTACCTACCAACGGGGGTATTCCATTTATAATAAATCTTCTTAGAATAAACATGTATATACGAAACGGGAATAATTTATTTAGTAGTCTGCTAATTTCATATCAAAATATTTAAATTTAAAAATATCAAATCCCTAAATAAATAATAAGTGTTGAGTGGAAATATTATAATCTGTTAGTTTATTTATTCTATACTTACCACAAGAAAAACGCCTGTGGCTCCATCTCGTATTTATCAAGCAGCTACACATCTCTAGATAATACTACTTCTGCAACGAAAACTGTACAGATACCGACAAATGAAAAAGAGAGTGATAAAGTCACGTGACTATTCCAGCTTCTTAACGAGATTGGTCGTTTACCGAATACTATCCGTTCATTGGGTAAATAGCGATGTGATTTCTGCAACAGTCATTTCAAATTAGAACAGTTGCCACTGTTACGGTTACACAGTCACGTAAAGATACACTAAACCAAAGAAGAGGGATTATACATAGAATATAAGTAAAACATCCTCAGACATTCAGTGATTAATAATTTGACACAGACTTTTGTCAATTGTACATTGTTGTTTCGTTACATTATAAACATTTTACTATGTCGTTTGCAAAAGCTAAGATCAAAAGATTTAACGAATTGGAAAGTAAGTGCTTATACGGTGTTTATTATTTTGATTTCATATGTTCATATTACTTAAAATAGTAATTGTTGTTTATTAAATGAGTATTACACAAGATAAGTATACATTTACAGATGATGTACCGCCACCAGGAGCATATGATCCTAAATTTGATACTGAAGTAAGAGGGGCTATGCTAGACAAATCAGATAGATTTCAGGATAATAGAAGTACAAATAGCACTGAATGTAATTTGTCAGTCTGCAATCACAGTAGTAACAAATCTGGTATAATTTTCAGAACGGTAAGTAACTTTTTTGAAAGAAAGAAATTTTATTATTAATTATTTTATTTTTAATTGAATCATATTTTTGTAGCCTCAACCAGCAAAGAAACCTACTGTTCAAAATCAAAGTGGAAAGATAAAAAGTAGATCTATTTTGTCTTCATCAGATACAAAATTAAAATATACTTCGGATCATAAGATTGCAGATCTGCAAGTAGAATGTTCAAATAAAAACAAAACTATAGAAGAATATTTGAAACACATACATGAAATGCAGGAAGAGATACAAAAGTTACATTCTCAGTTGGAAGAATTACATAAAAACCAAGCAGAAGTTGAACAACGCCATCAGAACGAAAGAGAATCTATGGTTGTGAAATATTTCTTAGGATTAGAAACATATTTTTATTCAATTGAAGTATTATACAATTTGCAATTTTTACTTGCAGATTCAATTGCAACAGGAGGTATTACAGGAGCATATCAAGAGACATCGTTCCGAGATAGAGCTCATTCAAAAACAATTAATTGAAGCTTGTGAAGCTAAAGCACATGAAATCCAAGCTAAGGAAGACTTAGAAAGTGATCTCAGAAGTCGTATATCAGATTTCGAGAAAAAGATAGATACAGTAGAGTCTGCATTGATCAACCAGAAACGTCTCAGTGAGGATAAAGTAAATAATCAACGTAAATACTAGAATATTAAATTTTGTAAGTACAACTACTATTTGAGTAATTGTAATTTTGATTCGTAGATTCAAAGTCTTGTAAAACAAGTTGAAGTATTAATGAAAAAGATAGAAAAAACATCAGAAAATCATAAAGAAGAGGTCTGTTCATTGGAACAGGAGAAGCTTGAACTTAATACTTGTATTAATGATTTAACAAACAAAATTACAAAATGTGAAGAAAGGCTGAAAAGAATGATTATTGAATGTGATACACGGGTAAAAGAAGTTTTCTTCTGTCCTAGCTTCCAATTGTATGAATATAATTCGCTTATTTATTTATGTACAAATTCGTTTATGTAGGTGCATGTTATGGTCAAAGAAGCAAAAACTGCCGTAGAAGAAGAAATGCGATTAACCAAAGAAAGATATACAGCATACCTGACTCGGATCGAGAAGGAACGATCAGAATTGGATGAAAAACTATCAGAGAAAGATGCAGAAATAAATAAACTTTCAATAATTTTAGGAGAGTTGAAGTCTTCTACACAGATCCAGGTGACTATCTGAAAATACAATTGTAAATTTAACTGAACTTTTAAAAACACATTTTATATAATTTAGGAAACGTTTGGTCTTAGTTTGCAATTGGAATTAGATCAAGCAGAAGCGGAATTGGCAGAAAAAGGGGAAGAATTGCAGACTCTAAAAAACCAAATTCGAAAAGAAGCAACAGAAATGACAGCTAGGAAAAAGAAGTATTGTTTTATTTATGTATACACATTTTTTAATGTACATTATATTCTAAACATTTATAATATTGTTTAGACTTGAAGCTACAATGAGAGAAAATCAAGCATTGGTTATTACATTAACTAAACATTTAGCTGAAAATAATACCGATGTCGAAAAGTTGCAGCGTGAATTAAAACGTGGAGAAGATAGTGTAAACGAGCATCACGAGTTACTGACCATTATGCGTAATAATTCGAAAGTGGTACATAGTCAGATACATGATCTGATGAAAGAGTTCGATGACAAACGAGTATTAGTGAATCAATTAGAATCTGAAAAAGTAAACAAAATTCATGTGATTAAATCTGTATTTGAAGCCAAAATCCAAGATTTAAAACAGTTAACAACGAAGGAAGTGACACAATTACATGCGAACTGTGATAAAAAAGATGCACAAAATGCCGAGGTATCTTTATTTGCTTTTATGTCACAACTATAAATCTTGATTTAATGGATTTTATTTAACCTAATTCATCTTTGATTTTAAATATTAGATGAAAATCCGACTTCAAAACATGGCTGAACGTTTAGATGAAACGAAAAATATGCTGCTTAAATTGGAGAAAAAGAATAGTACTCAAGAACTCGAAATTTCTCAATTAGAAATGATAAATCGTGAACTTGCTCGACAATTGGAAGAAAGTAAATTAGAAATAGCAAAAAGTAATAATTTCTTGGAAGCTGAAACAATAAAATACAAAGATACTTTAAATGAGGTATTGACTTCAAATCATTGTTATAGTATAATTATGTTGTAGAATTTATAAGGATACATTTATAGGCAAATGTCAGAATAGAAGAACTTTCTAATACGGTTAGAACCTTTGAGGAGAGGCGTAATAATATAGAGGACAAGACTGAATTACTAGAAGAAGAAAAAGCCCGACGAGAAGCCGCCGAAGAGTACGTTCCAGTCGCATATAAATTATTTTATTAAAAGATTTCATTCTTGAAATAATAAAATATGTTTTTGTTGTTGCAGAGAGATCAGAAAACTTCTTGAATATAATGCGCGCCTAAAAAAAGATCACGAAGAGATTAGTGAAAAATATGCCGAGCTAATAGGCCATCAAAACCATAAGCAAAGAATTAAACACGTGTCTCAGTTGAAAGATAAAATCACTCAACTGGAAATGGTGTGTTCAATAATCTTTAAATTGGTTTCTCCTAATGAAAGTATATATACAATATTATGTGCAATATAATAAAATATAATGCCTGTTTTTTAGGATTTACGCAAGAAAACAACAAAAATAGAACAGCAACAAAAAATCATTGAAAAAATAAGGTCAGAAGAGAAACATGTGCCAAACAAGTTCAGATAACCAATTATTGTTGTTATCTGTGGTTTATGACCAGCATGAAATAGTTGTTGTTATATGTAGTATATAGTGTATTCGGCAACAGTTTGGAGATTTAAGGGGTGATAGAAAGTAAGACAAAAGTAAGACGATAGTAAGACGAAAATCGAGGATTAAAAAAGTATGATTTAAACTTTATTTTCAAGTTGTTAACGATTAAAGATCTTGATCCTCGAAGACGGAGAACTGACTCGCACCTCAGTATTATAAACTTTTATTGTTAATAGCTTACCGACAAAGTGAAGGTCGTAATTTTTGTTCTCACTCGACTTTCATCTTATCTTGCCATAAAGAATAATCCTGCAAATTTTCTTGCATCTTGTTGTCGAGTATCTTGCATGTTAGCACTAGTTTCACATTAACGATTATGCCATTGGGTGAGAAACATGAAAATATTATATCAAATTAAGAAATTGTTTGTGGATTAAACAGGTTGGCCATCATCTCGAGAGAAATGAAAAGTTTTGTAACCGTTAATATGAAACCACATTACATGTATATCGTTAACAACTTATTTTAAGAAATGGACTTTAATACAGATTTTATACAGTAGTTTCTAAAAATAGGCGGATTATAGCTTTGAAGTTTTATGTTACTTATAGGAGTTACATTTTTAAAACAATATTTGCTGAATGTTTTTGTTATAATCTAAGGTCAAACTTGATAAGTTTGGTGGTTAGTGTAATTACTAGACTGCGGATTTTATGCTTTTATAATAAAAATGGGTAAGTGAAATTTAAGATAGCGAAACTATTTTTTAAAAATTAAGAGTATGTGTGTATCATTTTCGACTCACTGAGATTGTTAACGAAAGAAAGAACTTTTGATTTGACTGATGTTTGTTGAAATTGATGAAGATACGATTTGATAAAGTATCTTTTCTAAATAGCCGAGTATTCTACTTTCTATACATATACAATATACATATACACATGGTACACATAGGGTGTCCTAAAATTATGGTACTTCCGGAAAATATGGGGTTCCTGAGGTCATTTGAAGTAATAGTTAATATTTGAAGTAATAGTACATATACAATAGAGAAACTCCCATAACCGAACATTTATTTTTGCATTGTTCTGGTATCCAAAAGTCCATTATCTAAATATTGTCTCTAGATACATTATCA